CTAAGAGGTAGATTGGGGCATGGGCATAAGACTCTTTATGACACAATCAATAATTCAATTCATTTTCAATTACGCCTTGTTTTAACTTCTTCAGGGATTATTACTTCCTTGATAGCTCAGCACATCGACTTACGTGGCAACCGCCCTGCCATATTTGTGCGTGAGTGTCATGTGTCACAATACAGACAAACACACTACACAATGTAGAGCTACCGTGCAGGCCCCACTATGTATAAATTGCGATCCCCCCTCCCTTTCTCCCTTCACTCTAACATTTTCTCTAAAAGCTTGACACAAGTTCTTTCTCAACATAAGGTTAGTTAATATTTGTATTTATTTAATTTAAATACTATTATTATGTATTAATATAAGGAACCCTAGAATATATGACATGTTTATTTTTCATTATATAGGTGAAGTTTAGGATTTTTGATTTGAATTTACATTAACAAATAGAATCTTGATATTGGTTTGAATATTTTTATTTTATATAATTTATTTTAGGACTTGAAACCATAGGTTAGATGATATTTTATTAATTTCTTATTTTTGATAGTGTAGAAATTAAACCCTAGGATATATGATATATTTTGTGTTTGTTGAATGAATTAGTATAGCTAAATTATAGGATACTTCATTTTTTTAATTTTATATTTTTAATTAAGTTATAAAAATGTATTAACATTGGTTTGAATATTTTTGTTTTAAATAATTTATGTTAATTTAATTTATTTTAGGACTGAAACCCTGGGAGCTAGGATATATGACATATTTTTTCCAAAATCTTAGAATCGATGGATGAGTGGATTAATCCCAGTTTGAGTTTAAAGTCGCTGCCCTATTATTGAAAGTCTGGTTTAAAGCAGTTGACTTGCGACGGACGTATCCTGAGTTATACAAATCAAATGGAGGCTTATAACATGTCATTGAGAATCTCAAGATATCTAGTTTAACATAATAAAATCTTGAATTAATGGTAAGGTAATGCAATACCAATTATAAAAACGATAAACATTATTTTGTACCGAAAATGGCAATAGAGTCAGTTTCTATGGATCGTTCTTCGATCGAAGGACTCATGAACCTTATTGTGTTAGTAAATAATGTTTTAAGATTATGGGACCCTAAGGAAGTTGACTTATCTCCTTCATCATGGTTTGGTGTCTTAATATGATTATCCACTACATAAGAGCAAATGGGTTAAGTTTACTTAACTTCAAAGTTAAATTAAATGTCTTAAGAATTATTAAGTTATGAGAAGTTATCAAAGTTGTTTTACACTAATTAGTGATAATGATATTCTAAGTGGGGAGAATTCATAATAATTATGAATTGTGTGAATGGTAACTAGTTATCAAAGTTGTTTAACATAACTTTAATTATCCCAACATGAAGAATATGACATGAGATTTTTTTCACTTATCGCAGAACTTTATTGCTTGGTTGTTTTCAAAAATCAAATGAGGCAATTAAAGGTTTGGCAAAAAAAGCAGAGGTTCTATATTTAGCAAATATTGAGGGAGCCGTGAAAAATATTATCCTTGATATATTTAAAGAAGGAGGTACGAGTGAGCTTGGGATCAGTGATTCTAAGGAAATTGAGTGTTTGGTTGAAACTATAAATCATTTGAGTGAGTTAGGAAATCTCTTCTCTAAGTTGGTTACCCTGAGAATTGAGAGGATGGAGCATTTGGGAGCTTTATGGCATGGTCATTTGATTCCCAAAGGCCCTTTTGAGAAATTACGACAGATATATTTACGTGGTTGTCCAGAGCTGAAATCTCTCTTCACACATGCTATTGCTCGTATTTTGGTACAATTGGAGAAATTAGAAATACTAGAATCTGATGGACTGAAGCATATACTGGCAGATGATGAGACAAACGAGATAAGAACAGATGACCACAACTTGATGTTCTTCTCCAAATTAAAATGGCTCAAAATGGAGCAGTGCAAATAGCTCGAATATGTAATTCCAATCACTTTTGCTCAGAAACTTGTACAATTGGAGAGTTTGCGAGTTGATGGATGTCGTGAGTTGAAATGGATATTCGGCCTGTATACCTATAGAGATCTGTTGGCCGATCAAAATCAAAATGAACTCAAAATCGAGCTCCTTGCACTTCAAAAACTATAAGTGGAAGGTTGCAACAAGTTAAAATATATAATCCCAGCCGGTTGTGCTCCGAGCCTTATCCAACTAGAGAGTATGAAAAAAAATTATACACTTGCACAAGATCCTTGTATACACTTGATGTTCTGACCTAGCTCTAGTAAGTGTTAGCCGAACAATAAAGCAGAGAAGGAGAGAAGAATGTTGATAAAAATGAGAATGGTTTCTTAGGAGAAGCTTGAGTGTTGAGTAGAAATGTGAAGACTATGAAGTTGGAATCGTGGAGGTGAAATGGCCAAAAGAGTGTTCGTCCATTAAAAAGGTGGAACTCTCAGTGGAAAAATGCTGAAGAATGGAGAGAAATTGATCTTTCCCATGGCATACAAATCGAGGACACATGCCTATACTTGTTCCGTTCATAAAAATCAACTTTGTCCTTACTTGCATAAGATCCTTGGATACACTTTATGTTATGGCCTAGCTCTAGGAAATGCTAGCCGAACAATAAACCAAGAGAAGGAGAGAAGAATGTTGGTGGAAAATGAGAATAGTTTCTTATGAGAAGCATGTGTGTTGAGTAGAAAGTGTGAGGAATGTGAAGTTGAAATGGTGGAGGTGAAATGGCCGAAGGAGTATCTGTCCAAAAAATGATGGAACTCTTAATGGAAAAATGTTGAAGAGTAGAGAGAAATTGGTCTTTCCTAGGGCACACACTGAGGACACACGTCTCTACTTGTTCATTTCCTAAAAATCAATTTTATCCTTACTTGCACAAGATCCTTGGATACACTTGATGTTATAGCCTAGCTCTAGAAAATGCTAGCCGAACAATAACCAAGAGAAGGAGAAAAGAATGTTGATGGAAAACGAAAATGGTAACTTTGGATAAGCTTGGTTGTTGAGTAGAAAGTGTGAAGAATGTGAAGTTGGAATAATGTAGGTGAAATGGCCGAAGGAGTGTTTGTCCAAAAAAAGGGTGAAAATCTCAGTGGAAAATTACGGAAGAGTGGAGAGAAATAAGTGTTTCCCATGGTTACAATTGTTTTAAGTGGAAAAAGTTTAAAATGCCCTTCTTATAAAAGAAAACATATGATTTAGACTTGAACGTTTTGGTCCTTTTCTATTTATAGGCCTTTTGAAAATCTTATTTACCTTACCATATATATATATATATGTATATATATATATATATATAAAAGAAGGATTCATCTAATCTCATGTTGCATGAGAGAAGATTTCTTATGTTGTAAACACATATACGATAAAACCCGTTATTTAAAAAGAAAAAAAAAATATTACAATTTGTAATGAGTCTACTCTTATATAATATAAGAGTAATTTTTTCCATAAAAGAACTTGCAAATCAACTCATGATATCCCAATCAATAAAATTTGGGTATCATGACTCATGACGATGATATTTAAAACTTTCATAATCCATCGTGCCACGTTGTCTCTAACATACAAAAGAAAAAATATAGTTTTTTTATACGTTTTACGTTATTTTCAAAAGTTGTAACTGATTTTAATTAAACTATTTATACATTCTTTGAAATTTTTTAAACAACTACTAGATAATTATAATCGGATCATGTTTAGTATTTTTTTGAAAAGTCATAATTTGCAAAAAATTTATGCGAAATTCTGTATAATTTTTTGTACGTTTGTGCTACAGTATTTCTGTCGTTTTCATCCCTCAATATGAAACGGCAAAATCTCTTTTTATCCTCAATTTTGTGAGCAAACTACAAAATCCAGAAACGGTAACCGATATTTTAATGGGTTTTATAAGAGTTATGTTGTAGGAAAAGTGATTGTGTTATGTTATAGAGATTCGTTTTGCGTGCCGGATTTTTTTTTTTTGCTGTGGGTCCCACAAAATGTTGTGTGTGTAGGAAAATTTTTGTGGTCATGTTAAATGATAGATGATAGATCCTATTTTAATAATCATATAGTTCTTTAATGTGTTGATAATGTGTTTGTGGAACTCATGTCAGAGTACTAAGATTTGCACACTTGGATGGCGCATAGAACTTAGCACGGATCCCACGGACTTATGAGTTGTGAGCCATTAAGACACGTCAACCGCATTTGTTCGTGGTTTCTATAATTTCCCTGTTCATAGTGGAAAAACAACTGGAACAATATCATTGGGCTAATCTTGATTTTTGCTTGTAATAATTGATTTTTCTTTCTTTGCATTTTACTTTGTATGGTTAATAATAAATTAAATAATTAACTTTTTTTAATATACCTTTAACATATGTAATTAATTGCTAGATGTTATATCAATATGTATATATCTCAATAAAAAAATACAAAAGTAATTAGTTTTTTTACTAAGAAAGGTGAAGAATGATATAAAAAGAAATGAAAAATTTGTAAAAAAAAAATGTCAATATTTTAATGTTTTCACAATATATGACTATAGGGTGGGATGTAAATTACAAATGAATAGTAATAAAAGAGTTACTGATAGGTAATAACATTATTGATTATGTATATATAATGTGATTATTGATTTTTTTTGGAGTGGGGTGGGAATGTGGGATGGTAAAAAATTTCATCCTTTCAATCAGAAGAAGATAGCCGTTAAATGTGAAGGCAACTCCGTGGATCTTAGTTGGGCCATCGTGTCAATCAGAGATTCGGGCCTAAATGTGAAGAGCATAAAACAGTAACTGGAAGTTCCAACATGGGTGGAATCTAACGCAACCTTTTGCCAAACACGCAGGTGACAGGTTCCTCAATTTCATGACCACAAATTAAAAAGTGTTGAAACCAATTTCAAACAAACTACATTGACGTATACACAAAACTTTCTGGACTTAATCACAAATTATTAAACAACAAAAAAGGTCACTAAATACAATGTACACAACTATCCTGACATACAATTTGCGCAGATTTTTCTTCAAATGATCTTCACATACAAAAAAAATAAAAATAAAAATCATGTCTAATTTTCTAAAAAAAAAGAGAGAAATTAAAATCGAAGTCTCCCATGGAGAGTTTTATATTTCATAATCCCCCTGTATAGAACTGCCCTGTTAGGAGGCATGATGTCCTCTAATTTGGGGCCACGCCTCCATTTCTGAGTGTTCTCCATGACCCAAATGTCCTCAGACTTGACCCGTTGTGCCCTTGTCACTTTCCTACCATAGCTCTTGTTCTCCAATGGAAGTTCCAACACTTGTTTTGCGAACCGCACCTTCTTTTTTATTTGATGTTTCTCAGGGCCTTGCAAACGCAAATGAAAAATACATAATATAATATTAGGTTTTTTCAAGTATGTAAGGCACTTAGAATTCAAGTACAAAAAGGGAATTGAATTAAAGTTGAAAAGAATATAAATGATACCACTACCCAAATTCTTATGGGCGTGTGCGCATAAGGTACCACCCATTTCAAACTCAAATTTCTTCATGAAGTTAGATAGTAGACGCTTATGGACTTGATGAACCAAGAGGACCATGCTTCCAGATACAGCAAACACAGCCATCAACCCAAATCTCATTGAGTTCTCCATCTTTGTTATTGGGCAATCAAACTTTGGTTTGTATTATATGCATATAATATAGACATTGTGTATCATCACTCACTCATGAAAAAAAACACGGAAACTGGTAGGTAGGAAAAAAGAGAGGAAGGATCATTTTGTAAAGGGAAGAAAATGATGACGAAGGAGAAGGAGAAGAAGGAAGGGTTGATGAAGGATTCTGATCGTTGGTTATTGGTGCTTATATATGGAAGTTGAAAATAATGGAAGAGGAATGGACGATCTTACAACACAAAATAACCTCTTTTACATTTGCATACCTATTTTAACCATGAAAAACCCAACAATACATTGACGCCAAGTTGGGGAACACCTTAAATAGTGAAATTTTACAGTGTTCCGTTTATATTTCGTTAATTTTACGGCTGAATTTATCTTTGGATCTTTCTATTTTGAATCTATCGATTCCATCCATAAAGTGTCTCTCAATATTAATCGTTCTAATAGATTTTTGGATATATCTCTTTTTATAAGATGGATAAATTAAGTATGCTTTAATTTTAAGATCGATTGTTTGATAAAGTAAATAATTGTTGGCTAAATGCACTTAGTTATTTCTTGGATTTACACAGGAAAATGCATAGACACGCCTTAAGTTTTACGTCATTTTAAAATAAACTTTTATATTTGAGTAAAAAGTCTTTTAAACTTTTTAAAACATACCTATTCGCTATTCAAATAAAAATCCGCCAACATGTGACTGGTATGTATTGATTAATATACAATAGCAATTTTTAATGTTTATATTTTTTATAATGAAATTTCTTTTTGTATTTTTTTTATTCTTTATTTCATAAAAATATTGAATAATTTCAAAAGATGTTAAATTAAAAGGAGAAGATTTTAAGAAGTAATGTAAATAAATTGTATAATATTATATTTATTAACTAATGTGCATGGTAAATGATTTTTATTTAACTTATGTATAAAATAATTTATTATAAGTTTCAAAAAATTAAAGACCTTTTATGAAAATTTAAATGTTTATGGTGGCAAAATTCGAAAAAAAAAGTATATATACATATGGAAAAAACATTTCTCTAGCAACTTGAGATAAGTTTATCTCCGGCCACCCCAAAACTACGTCGTTTTGTTTATTTATTTTCTTACATTAATTGGTTCACATTTAAATGGTTATGATTCCTTTTTTCTCATTCTTCCTTTATTACCATTGATTCATCTTTGTACTGTTACGATTTAGTAGCCGGAGATAAAGTTATCTTCAGAAGCTTGAGAAACGATAAGCCCTATATATAGGGTTAATATATATATATATATATATATATATATATATATATGGGTTAATATTTCTCCAGCCACTTGAGATAAGCTTATCTCAAACTATTTATTTTAGGGAAAAGTGTTTGTCATTTTAAATGACAGAAAGTTATGTCATTTTAAGAGAGATACAGACACAGAAAATTTGAATTTTAAATTAAAAAAAATCAACCACTTTCTCTCTTTCATGATTTCCGTTTTTCTGTGTCTATCCCTCTCCTAAAATGACATAACTTATTTCATTTAAAATGACAAACATCAAACTCTTTATTTTAACTATGTACTTCGGATAGAGACGGCAAAACGGGCTCAGCTTGCCCTGCCTGCCAAACGGGGCAGGGCGAGTTGAGCTTTTCAAGCCCACCTGCCTGCCAAGACCGCCTGGACTGCTTTTTTTTTTTAGTGTAATATGACATTGGCCCTGCAGGCTGCCCGCCTCGCTTGCTCAAACAGGGCGGGGCAGACTGAGTTTTCTACCCTACCTTCAAAGGTGGGGCGGAGCGGGTCAGTCCGTTTTTTGGCGGGTTTACGGTCGAGGCGGGCCGCCTACTTTGCAATCTCTAACTACGGATAATACATAGTTATAACTTTAAAGTTACTTTTTTTTTCCCTCACCTCAGTCACTTTTTAGAACTTGTCTGCTAACGTGAAAAGAAAAAAAAAATAACTTTAACATTATAATTATGTAGCATCTGTAGTCCATAGTTAAAAAGGGTAACTTGAGATAAACATATTTCAAATGGCTAGAGAAATATTATATATATATACATATATATATATATATATAGGATGGATATATATTGACAAACTTTTTTTTTTTTACAAACTTACAAATTACACTATGTCTTACTAGTAAGACTTCACTCAGGAGTGTCTTACTAGTAAGATATAGTGTAGTTTGTAAATAAAAAATTTATAAATATAACATTTTTCATATATATATATGGGAAAATATCAATTTACAATTTTTTTTTAAGTTTTTGCAAATTATACTATGTACTCCCGGAAGTATATAGTGTAACCTAATGTACTTTCAGGAGTACATAGTGTAGTTTGTAAACGAAAAAGTTATAAAAATAACCCTCCCCTATATATATTTCAATTTTTCATATATATATATATATATATATATATATATTTATATAGTAAAATCATATATAGTAAAATCATAACCATACACCTATCATTGTTGCACATACAATAACTTTATATATGATTTTACTATATATATATATCATTTGACCTCTGTATCAAACTTAAAAATTTGACATCAAATCTTAACTGTTAATTTTCGTGAATCTAACGTTATAATTTATTGAGTAATACTTATTAATTTTCAAGAAATTATAACTGTTAGATTAGCAAAAATCAACGGTTAAAATTTGACGTCACACACACAGATATATATATATATATATATATATATATATATATATATATATATATATATATATATATATATATCCCTTGACAAGACAAGTGAAGTAAAAAAAATAAAGTTCTAACTTGAAAGATAAATATATTTATAAAAAATCATATTTGATGGTAAGTAATTTTATGTTTAGTCATTATAATTTTTGTATTTGATTTATAATATGAATTTTTTTGTACGGTTTCCCTACATTACAGAATTCAATTTTTTTTCCCGGTCTATTACGGTTTTGAAAATTATACTCCCGGGAAATGGTAAAGAGGAGAAGACTCGCAATACTCCCGGGAAATAAATTAGGCATCAACGACAAACGAAATTTATACTCTTACCTTGAAATGGTAAAATCTTGTGCAAATAGCTCTACACGACTTTCAAGAACTCACCTAGGCCTGCCACTAAACTGTAAAAGGAGGTAATAATTTCTGTATCTGAATTCCATTCATGCAGGCCACTAAGTAAGCAATTAAAAGTCTTTTAATAAATTGTCAGTGTAAAATATATACTATCAAATCAATCATCTTATCAAACTTAAGAAAAAAATAAAAAAGTTCAAGAGAGCAACCGCTCCAAGAAGACAGAAAGAAAGATACACCGAGTCGATGGCTACAAATTCTACTATGGTTTACCGTTGCTTTAATCCACAAAACATACAATTCTGTAACAAAAATGGTAAGGAGGAACAAAAAGTAAAGACAAAAACTGAACAGAACGCTGGATCGAAATGATCTATCTGAAAGATTATGAATGTAGATGTAATCATACTTAAATAAACAACTGGCAATTAGATTACCGGTGTTTGCTATGTCTTTCATTGCTCCAATACTTCAGGTTCAATGCTGATAAAGAAAACTACGGACGGAGGCCAAGCTCCTTTCAACTCAACAAAACACAATAACAATTCTAAAGACCCAGCTCTGGAAGCTTCTAAAACCAAAAGAAGATAACAGAAAGAACCTCCCCCGAGGCCTAATCCATTCCCCTCAACCGAAAACTCAATTCTCTGCGTGCCCTTTCCTCATATCACTTCCAATTCTGTTATTTCCCTTTTCTCCACCCCCAATCCTGCCTTGACACGTGTCCCCACCCTTAACTAACTTCTCCCCTCCTCACTGATAGTCTGGTATTGGTCACTGAAAATGGACCATATTGACTATATGACGGTTGTGAGAACTGAGAAGTTGGCATATCACACAATAACTAACTTTCTAACTTCTACCGTTATCCTTTATCTTCGGTTTGTTATGAAAGATACCAAAATTTTATTGAAGCTTTACACTAAATTTACATCACGCACGGCTTCAAATAATATAAGGTCTTTATAAATTTAATGTGCAGTAGTAATTAGTCTGTCATCGGATTCACATTTATTGCAAAAGGGTTTACAATACACTCGGAAGCTTGGAATTAAGCCACAGAAACCAGCTAAATTAGCCATTCATTTTTTCCTGATTGTTCCAACGACGTCTGATGCACATGCACCCAAGTGAACCAATCGGAATCCTGAAACTCAAAATCAACTCTCCTCAGATAACATATAAAGAGAATTTATGAAAAATACTTAAATGCATTGCAACAACCTTTGTGCTTAGTATGGTAGTGACCACACAACCTTGTCGTTCCTCACCTACAAAGTTGGCAAATTGGTAGAAGGTGAGAAGGTAAGATACGTGAAGCAAAATTTTCTAATTGTCTTACCGATGCTCTGCCACAATTCCAAACAGATAGATTATTCGTCAAGGGGTCCCAAATTGTTAACAAGACATACTAAAAGAATCAAAGACCTAAGGCAAACTCATAATAAGTGACAAAAAAGAAGAATGCTCACCAGAAGACTCCCACTTATCAAACTTCACTAACCATGTATCTGAATCTATCTGTGTGGCCAATATGCCATCCACCCAAACCCTGTATTGTTTTCCCTCTTTGTCACCGTAGCAGTTTCTCAAAACATTTATATACTCCCTTATATTATGCTCAGCACCAGAAGGATGAATATAAACACCAGATGGATGCTGCATATTAAACAAATTACAGTTAAGATGCTTTTCAAAAACTAAACTATTGAATAAAGACTCGTAAACAAAAAGGCAAGTCCAAGTGCATTCATAGAATAATAAAGCGCTCATAAAGCAAGAAACAAGAAAATGAGAAAGGGATCAAATGCACTAGATCTGGAAATTAACCATAATATTATTGTGTTAATTAAGGCCATTCAATTAGCCTTTTCAGCAACTTATAAAGCATATTACACGCAATCAACCAAGGAAATGCGCATTCTAGGTTGCCAAAAAACTAAATATATCCCGTTAACATCGGCTGTTTCAGCAATAGTTGAAAAGTTTAACTGGACCAAAACGTAGAGAATATTCCAAGAGAGTAAAATGCATGCTAAAATAAAGCATTCTTGACCCGCAACATGCACTTAGAGGGGACAAATACGAAGGTCATACCACAACTAAGTGAATACTGTATCAAAATCCTCAATTGAGACAAGCCCAAAATTCAAATATTGATTGCTTCCCAAGAAAATCAGAAATAAAATAAATTCATTCTATTTTTCTCTTTAATGTCCTGTTTTGTAAACCTCAGAAGGTTGGTCACATAAAATGTCAACCAAAACCAATTGACAAGGATAAGATAAATGATACAGGAAAAAAAATGAGAATGTTTGACACAGAAAAGAGAAGGGATTATTCAGTTAAAAGGATTATTTTGGACAACGCTTCAAATACCCATCAAGATGCAAACACAAATAAAATGCATGACAGGTAATCTTTAAAGGACATCAGACATACACAATCGTCTTTTAAATTAGAAAGAAACATTTCGGAGTTCTCAACTTCTGCACGCCTCCACTTTTCAATTAGCAAACTAATTTTCACCACCTCATAACCTGGAGACGCATTTTCAACATCCTCTGCAATGTCTGAAACATCTCTTGGGGACAGGTTTGGGCCTAATTTAAAATGACCTATGGCTTGTATAATCCCAGCTGCACATCGCTCTGAGGCATGGAGAATACTTGCGTTATCTTTTGCATTTTGTGCATGCCACTGCAACAATTCTTCTTGTGCATTGCTTACCTACACAAAAGAACAAAAACAGTGACAATCCCAATTTCTGACTAATAAGGCAAAATATCATGATAAACAAGGTGAACCACAAACCATGACACCAAAGACTCCCGGAACACTGAACAGCTCTGCATCATTTCCAGAGTCACCACAAACAAGAGTATTAACAGGGCGCTTTCCCTCATTCTCAAATTTCTTGAGCAGATATGCAAGAGCTTGACCTTTGCCAGCACCTTTTGGTAATATATCCAAATCAATTCCTCCACTATATATTATTTTAACATCCAACTGCCCAAAAATCAAGCAACGTTATGGAGTTATTCACAATATAAATCATGTACAGTTAGATATCCTAAAAACCAATACACACAACACGGAATTATTTAACAACAAACAAGGGGATTCGGCCAATATCTTACCCCGCGTTTTTCCAAACTCCTAGTAAGGGCGTCCATAACAGGACGAGCCTCGTCTTTCTTGACATAAAAGCTAACTTTGTGGGGTCGCTGTTCTGTTTCTGCCTGCAGCACCAGAAATTGAAATTGTTAATGAAATCATTGTATTGTAGGATGGTCTATGCATGGTAAATGAATGAATGATATACCTGAGGGGTAAGTTGAGGAAAATTGCTTGCTTCCTCCGTGACAACGTTGGTGTCCCATTTGTGATTCAAAAGTTGAACCCATCCATCATCTGGGAACATAGATTTACCATAGGTAATCTCAGTTCCCACAGACATGATGGTGATATCTGGGGTTATCATGGGCTTCTGTTTCCTCAATTGTCGGTAGAGAGTAGGCGATCTTCCAGTTGAGAAAACAAGGAGAGAATCATTGCGATAGTTGGATTCCCAAAGGGCATTGAAACGAAGAAGAGAAATGTTGTCAGAGTCATGATGATCAACCTGCAAATTGCAAGTTTTAGAAAATCATATGTGACCTAAAAAACACAACACAACACAACACAACGCACCATGGTGTGATCGAGATCCGAAACAATCATGAGGCGTGCAGGGGATTTTAGTGTATCCATCATCATATTGATTATTCAATTTGATACTGTAAAAAGTGAATAACGGAAGCGAATGAAGCTGAAATTGCGGCAGTAAGTAACGGAAGCGAGATGAAGTTGAAATTGGAAATTGGAAGATGGAGAGAAAGAAGGTTACCTGTGATTATGAAGTGAGAAGTGTGATAGAGCTGTACATTACAGAAGAAAGGAAATGTGATGGATACTGGTAACTGTTCTGTTATTCTACAACTACGAGAATCCGATACGAAATTCCTTCGCGCTTCTTTGTGTGTCAAATACGACTCCCACACCATCAATACTTTCGTGAGAAGATTCTTTTAAAAAAATACGAAAAAACTTGTAATCATATTTATAATGTAGCAGCGTTATTATATAATAAATATTTCTTATATATAGTTGTGTTATTTTAAAAGAGAAAAAAACACAATCTTATATTTTTTGTATTTAAATTTAAAATATAAAAAAATGGTTTGGTGTTTGTCATTTTAGGAGAAAGATAGACACAGAAAAACGGAAATCATGGGAGAGAGAAAGTGGGTGGTTTTTTTTTAATTTAAAATTCAAATTTTCTGTGTCTGTATCTCTCTTAAGATGACATAATTTTCTGTCATTTAAAATGACAAACACTTTTTCCATACAAAAACACTCATTTTTTCTCTCATTGTTTGTATCTTTCTTTCTTTAAAATAATATAACTCTGTATCTTTTAAAACACAAACACTAAATCCATATTTATTTTGGGTTCTCTTTTTCTATGGTCAATAGATAATTTATCTACATTAAACTCAAAACAACATCATTTTAAGGTGTAAATTCAAGTATTTTTGTAATTATAATTTATTTTAGGATTATAATTGTCTTTTTTATTATAATTTTTTAAGTTTTTAATCCAAAATGATGTCGTTTTGAAAACGAAGGTAAATAATTTATCTATATTCACCATATAAACATTAAAACCATTTATTATACAAAATATTCCAAAGTTCTGAAAATGCGAATATCCTTTTTTTGAATTAAAACATTAAAAATCAAATTATAATCAATTTGAAAAAGATGATTTGAGGTCTTACTTATCCTTTTTATTATGTTTCGACGAAGTGGGAAGATAGAGAAAGGGGTTGTTTGATAGGGGGATTTTTCAAATCTTTCAAAACTCCTGAAAAAGTGATAATCTTATTTATTCATGTTTGGTATAAGATTTTAGAAAATTTTCTCGAAAATCTAATTTTCTTAAAATTTTATTTTGTGTATAATTTTTTTTTAAAATACCAACATTTTTTATAATATTCTCATGTAAGTAAGTTTCCTGTCATCTTCTTTAGACAAAAAAAATTTATGCTCTGGCCAGCTAAGAGATATATGAAAAGGAGAATGCAATATTAGCTTTAATAGCTGTTCACTTGTCTTGTCATCAAGATTATAGAACCCAATGTTCGTTCGGATTGCCGCTCACGAGACACTTGTATTACAGCATATTCCAAGGAAGATTGGCCAATATATACGTATATCATATAGTAATATTCTCTGTTGCATATATGGCGTGGTGTTGTGAAGAGTGTGTAAAAAAAGTTACATAAGGACACTTGAATTAATTTTTGGGCCTGCTTAACAAAAACTTAATGTGACTCATCTGCGTCTTTCTTCTCATCTTCCCAATTCAAAATAGCATCTTCTTCTCCAATATCTTCATTATACATGTAGTGCAAAATCTGAATGCAATTAACAAGTCATGACAAAAGGAGGGAAAAGAAAATCAAATGTAGTGTCATGAAAATAAAGTTTATCACAAAAGTAAGGTTCCTGCAAGTTCTCATGCTCTCAAATCTTGTGTATCCAACTTTGTTGGCAGCAGTAACTTACTGGCTTTAGAGTACAGAACCACAGTGCATAAAATGTCATTGATCTTAAAGTAATTTCTATTTGACCAAAGGATATAACACTATTTAGAGTTGACTCAGCTCAGCTGGTATAGGTTTCCTGATGTGAATAAAAACTTCCACAAGCCAGAATGAACCTCCTCAAAAAGAAAAGGATTAGCCCCTATAGTTGAAAAGAAGCAATGAGATTTCTTACATTTTGAGCTCCATATCGCATGAGGCTCAAACAACAAGCTCAAGCAACAGTACAGAATGGTCTTGGGCTGTAAGCATAATCAACTAGTTGGTCTAATTTGGAATCTTTTGCATGTTACTTGAATACATTTTCATATTGAATAAAATACATGCTGATTGAAGTGTGGATTAAATACATCTACCCCACTATCCACCATTATTCCGCCAGGGGCCATTGTTCCATTATTACCAAGAACTGTTATGATGTTGCCTTTATCACCTGTGGTCACTTCGGCTAGCTGAGCATAATTATTTCATTCATTGTCTCACTTCAGATTGGACACAAGATGCAATACACACTTTTTTTTTTTTTTTTAGTTTTGTTTCTTTTAGTTTTATTAAATTAATAAAAACCAAAAATTCAAAAATAAAGTTTAGTTTCAGTTTATATATATTTTTTCGTTTTGTTTCTTTCGTTTAGTTTTATTTCTTTTAAATTTATTTTCTTAGTTTACTTTTTTTTTTTTGTTTATTCTGTAGTATTTTTTTTTATTTTTAGTATTATTTTAATCATTTATTTTTAGTTTATCTATTTTAAATTTATATATTTTAGTTAGTTAAGTTTAATTGTTTAGATTTATTTTTATTTTAATTCTTTTTACTTAATAATTTTTGCTTTTTTAGTTTTATTTTTATAAACTAATAAAAAAAGAGGATGCAGAGGAGGATACCATGGACGAGGCATAGTCATTGATCAGCCGCACACCATCTTTTTTTTTATTTATTTACCAAAAAAAAAAAATTATCTTTTGATCTTTTATTTCTTTTTCTTTATTTTGGGTTTTGATTTCAGTTATGTTGGTACTGTACTAAGATACTTATATTTACTTTAATATGATGCTAGTATTTTCATGTTATTGTTGTTTTCATCTGGGAGTGTGCTCTTGTTGCGCAAAATAGATTCACTCTACATCTAAATTAGTTTATTGTTGGTGCTCTTGTGGGACGCATAACATGCTTTGGTTGAGGAACTAATTAACATCAATAGGGAGGCAACTAACATAATTTTTGAGTCAGGAGAGATATCTCAGTCCTTTTACTTTTATTTTATTTTAATTTTTTTTTATTTTATTATTTTATTTTACTTGTCATTTATCTTGGTCTCTGAATAGTGTCTCTAATTTGCATGAGCTTTATCAGTTAATAAACATGAATAACGTTAGGAAACACAAGTGATACTGTGAGTGCTCACAATAATTTTTCTGTCATGGTATTGCATTGAATCTCATATAAGAGAGTATGACTACTCGTTTGAATGAGTTTCTTTTTAAAATTTTGGATGATACCATGATGTAGAAATAAGGAATAGTATTCTAGCTTGGTACCACAACATGTGAGGTTCGAGCCTAAACAATATAAATTTCTTCTTAAGAGGCCTCACTGTAGTAGTATTCTAGAACTTGCTCCATTTATCTCTTGATACATGAATAGATTGAGAAGACAAATGCATTTCATTCTATATAACCACTTGGTCAAATAGACCACCCGATAAATTTTTTATTTCTAACCCGTTTGAGTATGAGATTTATTTTTCTTTTATTTACCCACATTGTTACTTAACCCGTATCCTTAATTATCCCACCTTTGAATGAGATTGAAAGACTTATCAAATATTCATGTGAAGCTATTATGAATTGTGTTAAGTAATGAGAAGAGAGGAAGAATGCTCAAAGTGAGGAAGAAAGATATTAAATAAAGCTGAAGTAGTTATGTTTGTATTAAAAAAATAGAATAATAGAAAAACAAAATGCATTTTTTTATTAAGTTTCTGAAGAAAAAGCAATTAGGAAAGTATCAAGATGGTAGAAGGGAGAAAAGAAACTGGCGATAAAGAAAAGAAGTAGTGAAAAAATGTATGTGAATTGACTGATTTTATATTGGATAATGTATTTCAATATCATACAAGTAATTTAGCTACTTTTCAAATATTCTTACTCCCATACTAGACCAAGTTACAATCCTGAAAAGATCTTTTGATCAATTTGTGTATGTTGTTTGTGTTTCTCATCTTTAGAAACTTGAGAATAGGATTAAGCCTATGATAGTGTTATTACACTGATGGATTGAGTGATTTTATCCTAAGAACTTGAGCGATTGTTTTGTTTATCCTAATGAGGAGTATGTTGGGCAAGTGGCTTCTTACACAGGACGCTTACGGAACACCTAGAGGGGGGGTGAATAGGTGTTTTAAACTTTTTCAAAATCTTTTTTGAATTCAGTAAACAATTACACAAATTTTTCTTCAATCCCTATATGCCCAAAATAGTTTTTCGCAATGCTAAGAACAATGTAGTAACAGAAAGCGTACCTTAGCAATTTATAGAGTATAAACGCAGCAATTATAAAAGAATTAGTGTAACTGTCAGTCTCTAAACAAGATATTCAGAAATTAAATCAGAGATACAATGGACACACGATATATCCTGGTTCACACCCACTAAGCCTAAGTAGGGTGCTACGTCCAGACTTAAGTAGCTGCAGATATTTTATTTATCACAAGTGTACCAGTTTTACAAACACGCGTCACACAGGCAATCAAACAAAATATCAAAAATCTTCCTAGTGTCTACACTGCTCCAAGCTCTGAGAATACTCTCAAGCCAAACCTAAGGAGTTCACCAACTCCTCTCACACAAGACCTCCACTCTCCCTAGTGGATTCTTGAGGCTCCAGGCCTTGAGACACACTCTCAAGCCAAGCACAAGGTCGCCAACCCACTCGGTTGCACCCACACACCTAGGACAGATTTACAGCACACAACTACTCCACTTTAACAATCAATACAGAATTTTCAGAATTGTAACAAGTGAAATAAACCAAAATTACAGTGTCCTATCACACCAAATATATCACAGTAATATCAAACTAAGCTCCACAAATTTATGTCATATGCAGAAAATTAATCCAATGACATATGTATTCAAATCTCTAAAATTAATGCACAAAGGAGCTTGTATATCACACAATTATTTTTCTAATCAATGGA